TATATATATATATATAGAGATATAGCAGACCAGGGCATTTCCATGAGGTCTATATAGCTAGGGCTTGAGAGGTCTAGGGTTTGGATGTCGGGACATTACAGGGCCGGGCACATGCCAGCCAGTACACATGCATTGTAGGAGCCTCCGGTGTACATAGGTGGCTGTTTAGGGGTATACATAGTGTGTGTGTGTGTNNGGCTTAGAGAGGCCTAGGGTTTAGGTGCTAAAGATTCGATGCCACGGCATTGACTCTTTAGCGAGCTAGGGTATAGGTGCCTCGTGGTAGTGTAGATTATGCTTGCATGGCAACAATATATATAATTGGCTGGCTAATTGTAGATAGCGGGTCTTTGGAGGTTTCAGGGCTTAGGGGCTTTAAGATAAAATGTAGGCGTAGTAGTAGTTTTTGTCTCGCATCGACGAGCTTTCAATTGCTCCGGTTCTGGAGCTTGGCAACTTCACGGATCCTGGCTCAACCTCGTGGATGCGAGTGAACTGACATTGCGTGAAGCGGATCCTGATGAAGCCTCCGGGCTTGTCCACTTACGCGGCTTCATGTCGCAACTGGCGGACCAAACGACTGTGGGCTGACACGCGAGACAATCCGTCGTCGCTTCGAATTCACTCGCCCAGTCGCCATCACAGACGCTCTCGCAGTCGCACAGAGCGCCGACCTGACTGCGACGATGGTACGAAGATGAACTTGGATCTCGTCGCGAGCTTTCCAAGCGACCTCGCACTGATCAAGTCATCATCTTCTCGACGCATGGGTCATTTCTGAAGCCGTGGCTTCTTATCACGATTGGGGCACTCCCCCAAACTATTGGGGCACCCCCCCCACCGAGAGCCCTAAGCCTACTTGTGCTGATAAGTAAATAGCACTTCATAGTAGGATGTCGGGATCCCGAGTTTGAATACATACATACATATTTATGCACGTATATATACATGCATTCATATAAACTTATTATTATTATTATTCTTATTACACATATATATATATATGTATCGATATTTATAATATTGCTCAAGGCCCAATGGCCAACTTCGGACTGGCCTTCAGGCTAAGCCCTCAACCGAGCCAGCAAACTAAATTCTTAAGCCCCAAATCCTTAAAACCCTGAAGCCCTAGACCCTAAACCTCTGAATCCGGAACATATATGGGGATTTCCGAAAAAAGGGGACCCTAATA